CCCCAAAACCCCAAAACCCCAAAACCCCAAAACCCCAAAACCCCAAAACCCCAAAACCCCATTCTAGAATCTACTATTGAATAAAGAATTTTCTCGAAAAGGGCTTCTATATTATTTATTAGATTTCCTAATTAGCATCATCCATCTTAGCATCCTCGACTTCCTTAGCATCTTCTGGTGCTGGGGCTGAGGCATCTCCCTTCTTGTCGTCTTTCTTTTCAGCTCCTTCTTCCTTCTTTGGCTCTTCTTTCTTAGGTTCTGGCTTAGTTAGAATCTTAGTTCCTAAATCAATCAGAGCGTTCTTTTTGTGTTCAATCTCTGCTAAATCAAAAGCAGGATCCTCATGCTTTGGTAAAGTAGAGATATTTTCTGTGCAAGTGGCAATCCAGTTTTTGTTATCTTCACAAGCCTTCATCAGCTCTGTTACTTCTTCCTTAGTGATGTGGCTATCCTCAGGGATGTTGGCTGCCTGAGAGAAGAAGTTGTTTATGTGATTCTCAAAGTCACTCATCCTTAATGGGAAGAATTCATGGAATTTCGCCCTTGCTTTGATAGGCTCTCCTATTTTCTTTAATTCATCAAATCTTTGATGGAGTGTATCAGGAGTGTGATCATCATCATCATAAATAAACTCCTCAGTAGCATTAAGAGAGCTAAGGAAGGTCTCTCTATCAGCATCGAGGATAAATTCTTTGTAATTTCCTACGGTATCAAGAGCTGCTCTCATGTCATAGACATAAGTTTCAACATTGTTCTTCAGTACTTTATACTCAAGAATAACATTGTCTTGTTTGGTCATTTCAGCTTCAACCTTAATGAAGTCTTCAATTTGTTGAGCTCCATATCCATGATGCTCATACTTGAAATGAATCTGAGTGCTTCTGGTCTTTTTAACTTCTTTCTCTTCATATTGGTATTCTGGTTCCTTCTTATCTTCCTTTTTGGCACCCTCTCCTTCACCTTCACCTTCTTTCTTCTCAGTCTTGGCTGCTTTAGGCGCATCTTGCTTAATTGGAATTTTCTTGATCTCAATATATTCCTCTATCTGTTCAGCAGTGTCAAGAGCTGGGATACAATTTTGATCGAGCTGCACTCTTAGTTTTAATCCAAATTTCTCTTCTTTTGGCTTTGGTGGCTCAATTTTGTATCTGGCAAGAAGCTGAGGAATTCCTTCAATAATTTCGTCTTTTGAAGTATAAGCAATTCCTACATCCATGGGTTCACTTCTTCCGTCGAAGGTTAGACTCTTTACACTTGGGAAATTGTTTCCAGCTGGGAACAAGGTCTGGCTCTTCATCTTTCCGTCTGATACAGACCAGGAAACATTAATTGGATGTGGGTTACTTTCCTTGATTTCAAATGGGGGAACATGATATTGTGGAAGAATCATAGCAGCCATCAAAGAGCATCCCCTTGCGACACACTCTGAACTATTAATCGTTCTCTGGTGCTTCTCTTTCTCGAATACTTCCTCTGCTAATCTCTTGACAATTGGAGTTCTGGTAGCTTCACCAACAAGCTCAATACAATCAATAGCAGATGTTTTCAACTTAGATTTTTCTAATGCTTCAATCATCACCTTCTTTAATTCCTGGATATTTGGATCAATCAATTTCTCGAATTCTTCTCTAGTGTATGCTTGATGCAAATCCTCATCCTCAAGGAGACACTCGATATTCAAAACTGCTTCGGAATTGGCGGACAACATCTTCCTGATCTTCTCAATCTGGTCGAGCATTCTGAGTCTAGCCTTGGGAGCTTTCCTTGGGTCACATCCAAATTTCTTGTTAAATTCTCCACCGATAATATCGCAAAGAAGGTAATCGAAGTTTCTACCTCCAAGATTCCTGTTGCTAGCGTGGCTGAGAATAGTTACCTTTTTATCGGTAAAACTAGCAATAGTGCAAGTAGTCTTACCATGCCCCATATCCAAAAATGCTATATTTTTGGCCTTTTCACTGAACTCTTTCCTTCTGAAGAATCCATAACAAAGAGCAATGGCGGTGTTCTCGTTGATAAGTCTCAAACAGTTGACATTTGCTACTTTACAGGCATCCAGAAGTGCTAGTCTTTCGATGGTGGAGAAGAATGGAGGTACAGAGAGAACAACATCGACTTTGTCCTCTTCAGTAGCGAATAATTTCTTCAATTTCTTTAAATAAGCTGAATAGAGTTGCTCAGGAACCAGCTCTAACATTTCACCCTTGTTGGCAATAGTGAAATTTAATTTCTTATCTTTCCCAAAGGTAATCTTGTTGGAAATATATTTACCTTCTTCATCGATCTGCTCCTGACAATCGGATGTAAGTCCGACGAATCTGTTGATGTATGGAATGGTGTTCTTGAAATTTCCTCTCATCTGGGCGACAGCTGAGTCACCTATCATTCTCTCATTGTCTCCATAAGCGATGACAGATCTATAAGGTAGGGTTAGGATATCAATATGGATTGGCTATTGCATTTCCTAATCGATTAGATTCTCTCTTCCCCTTAGTATTCTCATCAATGAAAATCTGGAAATAGCCGGTTTTAGGAGAAATCTTGTTAGGGAAATTTGAAACAAAAGAGTTCGAGTCTAAGCAGGAGTACTTACGGAGTTAGTCTGTTAGAGCTGTCATTGAGGATAATTTCAATACCTCCTGATTTTACAGTAGCAATCACACTGCTCTGTGTTCCAATATCAATACCAATGGCTGAATGTAGTTCCATATTTTGTAAAAGTAATTAAAATTGCTCTATCAATTTTTCATTCAAAAAAAGGGGTTTTGGGGTTTTGGGGTTTTGGGGTTTTGGGGTTTTGGGG